TGCGTGGAGAACGTGACTGAACCAGGCCAGCTGCTGGAGGCAGACCTGCCTGTGGAGAGACCCCCCGAGACCCTGGGGGAGGCGGCGCAGGACACCCAGCAAGGTGGAGCGGAGGGGAGTGTCTGCAGCCGCTGCTGCACCCGGATCCCCACTCCCCACCACTGTCCTGCTCCCAGTGGGGACTCGAGGTGAGTTCCCCATCATGCCCCACATGCCAGTTCCTCCCTGGAGGGTTCTGCCCTGACGGTCTGTGTCACCTCTGATGTCTAGGGGGATACAGCTGTGCATGTCCTGCATGGGCACCCTGGACACAGGCGGTCTAGGAACCACTGCAGCAGCTGGAGACCAACTGCTTCCAGCAGCCAAGGTCAGCACCAGGAGCGGGGTGGGAGAGGAAAATTGGAGCTTAAGGGAAGAAGGAAGGTGGAGGTGGGTCAGGCACGCTGAGGGACAGGCTGACACAACATGGAGGCAATTTAGTGAAGCTGCACTGGGGGAGCAAGAGCTGGGGCCACACCAGCTGAGGGACTGAACATGGACAGCAATCCTCACCAAAAGGTGAACAGGCTGAGGGTGGCAAGAGAGCTGACAGGACATCTCTCCATGCACAGGCAGAGGATGGAGCCCTTGGCAGTGACCCTGTGCTGAGCCGGGAGGAGCTTGACGCGCTGCTAGGGGAGGTAAGACTGCGTGACACCAACAGGCAGACTCCATGCAAAGGGGACCATGTCTCTGGTGTGGCCCACAGGGGGTCATGGGCACATGGGTCAGGCAGCATGTGCCTGGACAGGGGAAAGGATGTGGGATGGAAAGAGAAAATGAACACCGGGGGCTATCCCACAGAGCACGTGGGATGGGATCTTGCAGTGGGCATTCCAGACCATGGCACGGCCGCTGGCAGAAACACAGGGGCTCCTTGCCTAGTGCAGACACCAAGCAGCACAATCCACATGGCAACCAATGAGAAAGAAAGCTCGGAGACACACGTAAAACAAGATGAATGCAGGCATAATGATAGCACAAAGAAGTCACAGAATACAACACTGACCGTCAACAGGACAACCGACAATGGCACAAACAGAGCAAAATGGCAGGCTACACCCACTGACACTCAGCAGAGAACAAGCGCACTGAAAATGTACATAAAATACAGGCCAGAGCAAATAAAATTCAATGACTTCAAAATAATTTATTTAGCGGAAGGCTCAAAAAATCCTATTTCTTCATAAAAAAAAAACAGAAGAAAAAGATACAAAAAAAAACCAAATACAAAA